GAAGGGTAGCAAGTCCTCACCAGTGATTCGTTCAGGTATGCTGCACAGCCGTATATTAAAATTTACATTTCTTTTACATGCTTGCTATGCATCCTATGCTAATGTTTTTTCAAACAAAAATTATTTGGTGGTAAAGGGGTTAATTATGAATATGTTGAATACGTTGCCTATTTCAGTCTACAATCCACATTACTTGACTTGGACCATTCTCTAAAGAAATGTGACTCTGGTCGGGTGGTCAGTTTTGACAGTAGGACAAAGAAGACTTCTACCAATGTAATAACAATGACCATCAGTGAAAAAAAAATGCTGCAGTGCAAATAAATAAAAATAAATATGTGCTATGCTTGTGCTACGGTATTGGGGAGAGTTCCCTGGTATATCTTAACTTTTTCTTATATTGAAAAAGCAAAATGTAACTTCTTTTTAGTATGTTTTAAAGTAAGTTTAATTTAAGTTTAACAACATTGTAGTTAATATGGCTGCTGTCCCTACCAGATCTCTGTATTGAGCGTAGGAGTCGGCCGGGTTGCAGAAGCAGCGCAAATAGAGATACAGGGAATATGACACTTGACTATGTCTGTCAGTGTGTTCTGGTCTGTGTCAATTTGTTTGTCTCTGTGTCTGTCTTCACCTGCCTGTGACTGTCTGCACCCGTTTGTGTCTGTCTGTGTGTCTGCCTTTACATGTCCATGCATGTATGTGTTTCTCTCTCTCTCTGCCTATGCATACCTGTTTGCGTTTGTGTATGTCTTTCTGTGTTTGTCTGTTCCTCTGTGTGCCTGGCTGTGTGCGCGTGTGTGTGTTTGCTATGGGTGCCCAGCTCTGGGGTGGAGGTTGGGAAAGTTTGGAGTGAAGTTTCTAAATAACTGGATGTTTTTTTTGATGAACAGAAAATTTAAGGATATAATATTTAATATGCATAGTCCCAGATTGGTGATCCATGGAGGAATCTGTCATCCACTATGGAGTCAAGAAAAATTTATTTTCCAATTTTCTGGCAAATTTAAAAATCACGTCAAATTGAGTCTTTCACCTTCTTTTAGACCAACGGCAGGAATACATACAGTTGCAAGAAAAAGTATGTGAACCCTTTGGAATGATATGGATTTCTACACAAATTGGACATAAAATGTGATCTGATCATCATCTAAGTCACAACAATAGACAATCACAGTCTGCTTAAACTAATAACACACAAAGAATGAAATGTTGCCATGTTTTTATTGAACACACCATGTAAACATTCACAGTACAGGTGGAAAAAGTATGTGAACCCTTGGATTTAATAACTGGTTGAACCACCTTTGGCAGCAATAACTTCAACCAAACATTTCCTGTAGTTGCAGATCAGACGTGCACAACGGTCAGGAGTAATTCTTGACCATTCCTCTTTACAGAACTGTTTCAGTTCAGCAATATTCTTGGGATATCTGGTGTGAATCACTTTCTTGAGGTCATGCCACAGCATCTCAATCGAGTTGAGGTCAGGACTCTGACTGGGCCACTTCAAAAGGTGTATTTTCTTCTGTTTAAGCCATTCTGTTGTTGATTTACTTCTATGCTTTGGGTCATTGTCCTGTTGTAATACCCATCTTCTGTTGAGCTTCAGCTGGTAGACAGATGGCCTTAAGTTCTCCTGCAAAATGTCTTGATAAACTTGGGAATTCATTTTTCCTTTGATGATAGCAATCCGTCCAGCAAAGCAGTCCCAAACCATGATGCCCCCACCACCATACTTCACAGTTGGGATGAGGTTTTGATGTTGGTGTGCTGTGCCTTTTTTTCACCACACATAGTGTTGTGTTTTTCTTCGAAACAACTCAACTTTGTTTTCATCTGTCCACAGAATATTTTGCCAGTATTGCTGTGAAACATCCAGATGCTCTTGTGCAAACTGTAAAAGTGCAGCAATGTTTTGTTTGGACAGCAGTGGCTTCCTCTGTGGTATCCTCCCATGAAATCCATTCTTGTTTAGTGTTTTACGTATTGTAGATTCGCTAACAGGGATGTTAGCATTTGCCAGTGACTTTTGTAAGTCTTTAGCTGACACTCTAGAAATCTTCTTCACCTCATTGAGCAGTTTGCGCTGTGCTCTTGCAGTCATCTTTACAGGACGGCCACTCCTAGGGAGAGTAGCAGCAGTGCTGAACTTTCTCCATTTATAGACCATTTGTCTTACCGTGGACTGATGAATAGTAAGGCTTTTGGAGATACTTTTATAACCATTTCCAGCTTTATGCAAGTCAACAATTCTTAATCGTAGGTCTTCTGAGAACTCTTTTGTGCGAGACATCATTCACATCAGGCAATGCTTCTTGTGAAAAGCAAACCCAGAACTGGTGTGTGTTTTTTATAGGGCAGGGCAGCTGTAACCAACACTTCCAATCTCATCTCATTGATTGGACTCCAGTTGGCTGACATCTCACTCCAATTAGCTCTTGGAGATGTCATTAGTCTAGGGGTTCACATACTTTTTCCACCTGCATTGTGATGTTTACATGGTGTGTTGAATAAAAACATGGCAACATTTCATTATTTGTGTGTTTAAGCAGACTGTGATTGTCTATTGTTGTGACTTAGATGATGATCAAATCACATTTTATGACCAATTTGTGCAGAAATCCATATCATTCCAAAGGGTTCACATACTTTTTCTTGCAACTGTATATGTGAAAGACTGAACTTGATGGACTTAAAAGACTACTATAGGCACCCAGACCACTTCAGCTTAATGAAGTGGTCTGGGTGCCAGGTCCAGCTAGGTTTAACCCTTTTTTCTGTAAACATAGCCGTTTCAGAGAAACGGTTATGTTTATAATAGGGTTAATCCAGCCTCTAGTGGCTGTCTCATTGACAGCCGCTAGAGGCATTTCCGTGCTTCTCACTGTGATTTTCACAGTGAGAAGATGCCAGCGTCCATAGGAAAGCATTGTGAATGTTTTCCTGTGGACTGGCTGAATGCGCGCGGCTCGTGCTGCGCATGAGCATTCAGCCAAGGAGGAGGGGATGAGGACGGGAGGAGAAGGGGAGGAGGAGGAGAGGAGGAGGAGAGTCCCCCGTCCGTCGCTGGAGAAAGAGGTAAATTTAACCCCTTACTCACCCTATAGCTCGGAGGGGAGGGAGAGGGTGGGGGCATCCTCAGGGCACTATAGTGCCAGGAAAACGAGTATGTTTTCCTGGCATTATAGTGGTCCTTTAAGTTTATATTATTACATAACTCTGTAACTATGTGCAAATACATGGGAACACCACACACAAAAATACAATAAGAAAATCTTACTGGGCTACTGCAAAACACGTAGAAGACATAGAAAGCAAATAAGGGGATTTACTCACACTGTATGACCATATCAATTTCAGGTGATTTTAATTTGCTTCATAAGATTTTATATTGTATTCATTGTATGTTAATTTGTATTTTATATGATTTCCTGTTTACGTATTATACTAATCATTTTAATGAATACTGACATCAACTACTTGCAAATATCTTTACAATATGATATCAGTTCCTTACATTTATTTATATTATCTAAATGTATATTACATTTATTGAATTGTGAGTGGCTATGTTCTGACCTGGATATTATTATTTAAACATGTCTATTTGTGGTTTGTTCTTCATTCGAGATAGTTCCTGTCCTTCTGCTTTTTTTTATTTTTTTTGTACATATTTGCTTAATTTCATGCCTGTCACATCTTCTAAGAACTGTTCAAATAAACTTGTTTAAAATAAGTACGAAGTAGAGAGACAGGATGGTGCTTCCCAGTGTCTGATCTTCTATCCCTTCACTAAGGCCCAAGATTTATCATTAGGTGAAGCCATTCATTTTGTGCTGTGTAAACTTAAGTAGCAGAGGATTTATAGCCCTGAAATCCCTCAGGCACCGTTTTCCAAAGACAGATCACTAGGGCTCTGTTATTGTTTGGGAGGCCAAATTGTAAAGGGACATAAATCCTTCCTTTCCCAATGACAAGGAAATAACAAAGCCAACCAGGCATCTCATTTTTTGGCCAACTTGTGAGCTCAGCCAGAAGTGACCAGTCCTTGCCAGGGAACAAAAGCCAAGAGCCTGTCTTAATTTCACATGCTTTCTGGTAAAACCAGTTTTTTATCTACCCACGTACTAAAGTTATTTTGTGGGGTGGAAGAATGAATAATCTGGGTCTCCCAAAAGACCCTTCTAGCATTATAGATACATTATTTAGTGGACAATATTGGCAGTCGCACTAGGTCCTCTCTCACGGTTTGCTATGTTTATATGTCTTCTATCACAATGATTGCTGTCGAACTTCACATGCAGAAATAATTCTTTATAATGCAACATTAAAAGCATACATGTTCACTATGACTTACTGACAATTTAATGACAAACAAAGCCGGGACTATTGCAAGTGAAAATTTACAGGACACTTGTGTGAACTGTTGATAATGAATGCACATCATCTTAGTTTGTGATTTATATTTTTCTTTAGAACAGGGTTTCCCAATTAATTTTTCCCTTGGAACCCTTTGACATGATATAGCAAAACTTTGGAACCCTAACAAAAAAATGTGTGGCGTAGAGTAGCGCAGCATGTAATGTTCTCTTTTGCTGGCAAATTCTTTTTATATCTGGTTTAATTGTTGACAATTGTATATGCATGTTTGCAGTTGCATCAAGTCAATTTCGATACTTTGTTTTTTTTTTGCAGAGTAAAGTGGCGAATGGCAACAGAACTTTGATTTCCCGCTTGGACAATTCTGGGTATTATTTGCGTAAATCACCCCAAAAAGCAATAAGAGAAACTTCTTTAAATTTTTGGCTTAGTTGACTGTCAGAAGTTATATCGATCAGATTCTCAAAATCTACATCAGAAAAATTGGCTGGCTTGTCTTTTTTTTTTTAACACTGAACAGCCACATTTAAAATGGCACTTTATTTAAAAAAAAAAAATTAGACTCGAGATCAGAAGGTTCAGCAATAGGAAAGGCCCATTTCAAGCGAACATCAAGTCTAATACTCTTCACCTTCATCCTCTGCATCAGCACTATATGCACCAACTTCCTCATAATCCTTCTCCAGGGCAGCCATGGCCTCAGCGAACTCTCCCTCCTCCATACCCTCACCAACATACCAGTGCACGAAGGCATGTTTAGCATACATAAGATCGAATTTGTGGTCCAGGCGGGCCCAGGCCTCAGCAATTGCAGTGGTGTTGCTCAGCTTACACACAGCACACTGTACCTTGGCCAGGTCACCGCATGCAACCACATTTGGGGGTTGGTAGTTAATGCCAACCTTGAAACCAGTGGGAAACCAGTCTACAAACTGGATGCTACGCTTTGTCTTGATGGTGGCAATAGCTGCATTAACATCTTTGGGCACAAAATCACCACGATACAACAGGCAGCAAGCCATGTATTTACCGTGATGTGGGTCACATTTTACCATCTGATTAGCTGGCTCAAATCATGCATTTGTAATATCAGACACAGTCAGCTGCTCATGGTAAGCTTTCTCTGCAGAAATAACAGGGGCATAAGTGGCCAGAGGGAAATGAATATGAGGATAGGGCACCAAGTTGGTTTGGAATTCAGTATGATCAACATTCAGGGTACCATCAAATCTGAGAGAGGCTGTAATAGAGGACACTATCTGACTGATAAGGCGATTGAGATTGGTATATGTGGGACGCTCAATATCTAGATTTCTGCAGCAAATGTCATAGATAGCCTCATAGTCCACCATGAAGGCGCAATCTGAATGCTCCATGGTGGTATGAGTGGTCAGGATGGAATTGTAGGGGTCAACCACAGCTGAGACTTGAGGTGCTGCATAAATGGCAAATTCAAGTTTGGACTTCTTCCCATAATCAACAGAGAGACATTCCATCAACAGAGATGTGAAACCTTCAACACCTTCTTCAGTGAGACTGGAGCTGGAAAACATGTTCCCATGGCTGTGTTTGTAGATCTAGAACCAACAGTCATTGATGAGGTACACACTGGCACATACCGTCAGCTTTTCCACCCAGAACAATTAATCACTGGCAAAGAAGATGCAGCAAACAACTATGCTCGTGGGCACTACACAAACTACAAAGAGATCATTGACTTAATATTGGATAGGATCCGTAAATTTGCTGACCAGTGCACAGGTTTTCAGGGTTTTCTGGTGTTTCACAGTTTTGGTGGCGGTACAGGTTCTGGTTTCACATCTCTGCTGGCTTGTCTTTTATGAGTGGATTTCGAACCCTGTCATTATTCAAGAATGGAATATACTTATTAATAGATGTGATTAAATGGAGAAGATGATCTACAATTTCATTGCGAATTTCATCTTCAAGTTCAATTTCTGATTCTTCAAGAAAATCCTTAAGCATTGGCAAAGAGTTCAAATTATTTTGCTCAACAGATCAGGTCCCAAACTGCAGCTTACGAGACAGTAAGAATATGTTATCTCTTATATATTAGTGTTTTTTCCTTGGAGTGATAAACATACATACTTTGGATAACCACAGAATGTTTGTTAATTGATCAGATAATCTAAATTTATGATCCTGGAAATATGCAAACAACTCTTGACGCGATTCAAACATTCTAACAAGGACTTTACTTTGTGATAGCCAACGGACTTCTGAATGCAAAAGCAGAGCAGAGTGGTGACTACCCATATCTTCACATATAATTTTAAATAGTCGCGACTGTAATGGTTGACTTTTTAAAAAATAAAAAATCTGGACCGATTCATCTAGCACAGTTTTAAGTGAGATTGAAATATTTTTAGCTACCAGTGCATGTCTGTGAAGAACACAGTGAGAACTGGTGCTGATTTTTGCTACATTTCTTATTCGTGTCACAGCGCCTGCCACTTTCCCAACCATTGCTTTGGCACCATCACTGCACACATCTACACATTTGTCCCAATTTATACTGTGTTCATGAACTTCTGGATACAGTTAAAGATGTTCTCACCAGTGGTATGAGTTTTCAAAGTTTCACACAGCAGCAAACCTATTTGTCAAAATTATATCTAACAAAAACAACAAAATTGAAAGTCCTGCAACTTCTGTGAACTTGTCTAATTGCAGTAAGTACCCATCACATTGATGCAGTCGAGAAATTAGTTCAGTATAGATGTCATCAGCAAGATCATAAATATGGCGCAAAACTGTATTGTTGGAAAGTGGCACAGCTTACATTTCTTTACTCAACTTCTCACTTAAAATACATGACACTATTTCTTTTGCACATGGTTTTATTAGTGATTCCCCAATTGTGTGTAATTGTGTGTAAGTCTTGGTGCAGGAAGGAGGGTTTTGGGTTTTTAGAGCACAGGGCTGACTTTGCGATTGGGTACAACCTTTATAGTGGTGATGGATTGCACCTAAACGGAAGAGGGTCTGCAGTGCTGGGGGATAGGATGGCTAGAAGGTTGGAGGAGATTTTAAACTCGTAGTAGGGGGGGAGGGTCATAGCAATCTACAAAATGGAGATAGGACAGAAAGGAGATGGGCTTTAGAACAGTATAAGGGGGGTGGAGACAGGGGGAGGGGCAAGCTCAGAACAGAGAAGCTGTGTAATGTTGAAAATTCACAAAATATACAAGTGACACATAATATTAAATGTATGCTTACTAATGCAAGGAGCCTAAATAACAAAATGGGGGAACTCGAGGCATTAGCATACACTAAACAATATGATATAATAGGCATAACTGAAACATGGTGGGATGAGACACATGACTGGGCAGCTAACTTAAATGGGTACATGTTATTTAGGAAGGATAGGAAAAACAAGAAGGATGGTGGGGTATGTTTGTATGTCAACCATGATTTAAAGCCAAATGTTAAGCAAA